TGGACCTCTAGGAAGAACAGTTTAGAACTGATAGAGCTATCCAGTATAAATAAAGTTAGTTTAGTTTAGGTTTCCTCCTGTAGTAACACTAGATCAATGAGAGATGATCCTTACTGGACCTCTAGGAAGAACAGTTTAGAACTGATAGGGCTATCCAGTATAAATAAAGTTAGTTTAGTTTAGGTTTCCTCCTGTAGTAACACTAGATCAATAAGAGATGATCCTTAATGAACCTCCAGGAAGAACAGTTTAGAAGTGATAGAGCTATCCAGCATAAATAAAGTCAGGCTAGCCAGATCCCAGCACTAACCTTCAATATAACAGTAAGCAATGCGACAGTGGTTGATATGGTACATAAACTGGTAATGAACCAAGCAATCCAATGCACAATATTACTCAGTCCCATCATTTTCATAAATTCCTTTAGTCTTCTTTCTTTCTCATATACAATACTCTGGACGGTAATTGCGACAGTATATATCCAGGATATCACCATGCATAGTGGTACCATGTGTTTAATCACAAACATAAAACTACAAAATAAAATTATCACAAAATAAACGGTGGTCATAGTGGTACCAGATCACCATGTATAGTGGTACCAGATCACCATGTATAGTGGTACCAGATCACCATGTATAGTGGTACCAGATCACCATGTATAGTGGTACCAGATCACCATGTATAGTGGTACCAGATCACCATGTATAGTGGTACCAGATCACCATGTATAGTGGTACCAGATCACCATGTATAGTGGTACCAGATCACCATGTATAGTGGTACCACATCAGAGCAAGCACCTTTCACCTCTGAGATCGTGGGTTCTATTCTCGCTACGGACTCATGTGAAAAGAGTCAGTCAATGCTCTGCCGAAAGTCGTGGGTTTTCTCCGGGTGCTCCCGTTTCTCCCACAGGGAAAGTTGACAAGATGGGTTAGGATAAACACAGTTAAGAAAGTAATATCACAAATGATGAAAATAGTCCAGGCTCAGTATGCAATTGATGCAAATATCTACATGCAAATTTGCGTTATAAAAATCAAGGGCGGATTTCCATTTTTTAAAAGGAAGGGTGGAAAAATTTCTAGTGGGGTGTAAACGGTACCACTGAGCAAGCTTCCGCAAGAGTTAGGCGTTAGGGTTAAAGACTTTCACACAAAATAGGAGGGGTGAAGCGAAATTTTGGTGGCGTTAGAGTGTTTCTAGGGGGCAGGGTTAACCCCCCTAACCCCCAGTAAATCCGCCCATGATAAAAATGTTAATTGTAATCTTAACCACCTACCCATCGCTCATATAACATGGATATGGTATTTCCTGCAAGTACGAGGCGGGAGCGAGGTTAACACCTGCATTCACTTGTTGATCAACGATAGCGCGATCAAACAGATCTTGAAACCAATCAAATCCAAAGAAATAATATGGTTGAAATTCACATTCAGGACCAGGTTGCCAGTAGTTGCTTCGTATGGTTGTTGTATCGAATGTGAAGGTGCTGTTCATTCTGATTTTATACTCAACATGTTGAGGTAACGTGCCATTTTCTGGAATGTTTGTGAACACAATACCTACACACAACGGACAACACATTAGGTTCGGGGGTTTATCAGATCAAGGTCAGAATTAGGTAAGGGTTAGGATGAGGCTATGATTTGGGCTAGGGTAGGGTAGGGTAGGGTAAAGTAAGAGTTAAAAATAAGGAGTCAAAGTAAGGAATAAAATAGTAAGGAGTAAGGAAGAATAAGAAAGAAGTGAGGAAGAAGTAAGGAGTTTTTTTCAAAAAGTTACCGTTGTTTTATATTCTATTAAAATACTCGGTGGTTCTCGTAATTTTTAGTAAAGTAAGCATTATATGGGACTCGAAATATGATGCGGGGTTGGGGTTGATATGAGGTTAGGGTAAAGACAAGGGTTAGAGATCGGAGTAGGTTGATGAGATTTCTCTCATACAGAAATTGACTCAATCGTCAGGTGTAAGAGGGAGTAGAATAATTATGAAAGGGAGTGTAACAGAACACGTGAAAAAGGATCAAATATAACTGACCTGCAATAACGTTACGATCTAAATATTGTGGCATGCTACTCCTGTTCATCACAAAATTATCTAAATCTTTCGAAGTGTTGAAGCCCAGAAATACATCCAATGAAATATTCTCGATCTTATTTAGCCACGCTTGCACGACATAATCTGCGAATTTCAGTCTCTTGGTTGTTTTAAAGACGTCAAAGTTTTGCACCAACAATCGATCGTAATCAAACAATCTTTGTTGGTCTAAGTTCTTCTTCACTTCATTCTCATTCCATATACCGAATAATGTTTTCATATATTCAAGTCGTGACGTGAAGTTATTAGAGTTGATATTGGTTTGAACCATTTTAGAATATTTCAACCACCAATGCCCAGCACTTATACTGTCAGCCACCGCTTGGAATGTCCAGTTCGCCTGGGAATGGAACAAATTAATTAAGCACAAATTTCTGATCAGAACGTTTTCCACCAGGCGAATTTGTTCGCGCGAAACGAAGAACAGATTTCGACAATGTGAGCGGCAAATTTGTTCGCAAACCAATCACATTGCCGAAATATGTTTTTCACTTCGCGCGATCAAATACGATCTTAACAAGACTCCACGGGCGCTTTCCATTTCATCAGTGCCTGACCGGTCAGACCCGAATTTTTGTCTCTGTATCAATGGAAAGATCTGGTCTATGTTTCTCAAATATCTAGCGAAAATGCACCTCATTCTAATTTTATCTAAATTTTCTGGTCAGATAGGTTCGAAGCCCAAATGTTTTGTGTTTCATTCAACAATTTGACCGTTCTGACCGGTCTGGCCGTGTTAATGGAAAGCGCCCTTGGCTAGGGCCTTGTCTTTATCCAAATGGGTCAATGTGTCTGACACAGATCAACGAGTTTGACCAACGATCGGTTTCTGATGTGATTCAAGCTATTCTAACTAGTTCATCTGCACAGTTCTTTAGTTAGTTAAGACAGGAGGGTGCAGGGACCTGGCAGAGCAACCCCAGCCCGCGAAACAGACCATACTGGATCCATCCCTGGTTCTCAAGTATGAATAATGGCAAGACTCTACGTACTCTTTTGACAACAGCGTCGACATCTGGACCACGTGGTGAGTAGACAATCAGTGGTTTATTGGTCATGAGATAGAGCATCAAGACTAAAGCTCGTGAGTTGGATTGATGATAATACATCGCGTCTGGACATGGATCTTTTTCATACTCATTCGTGTTAGGACCACATAACACTGGACCAATCACCTGCAATATTCGTAGATAACGTGAATGAATTATACCACTACCACCATCATCACCATCATAATCATCACCATTAACATCATCACCACCACCATGATCATCATCACCATCATAATCATCACCATTAAGATCATCACCATGACCATCATCATCACTACAATTACTACCATCACTATCATAATCCCACCATCACCACAACAACAACCATCATCACTACCATCATCACCACAATCACCATTATCATCATTACCATCCATCATTACCATCATCACCATACCATCATTACCATACCACCACTACCATACCATCATCACCATACCATCATCACCATATTACCATACCATCATTACCATACCACCATTACCATACCATCATTACCATACCACCATTACCATACCATCATTACCATACCACCATCACCATATCATCATCACATTATCATCACCATATTACCATACCATCATTACCATACCATCATCACCATATTACCATGCCATCATTACCATACCATCATCACCATACCATCATCACCATACCATCATCACCATATTACCATGCCATCATCACCATACCATCATCACCATACCATCATCACCATATTACCATACCATCATTACCATACCATCATCACCATACCATCATCACCATATTACCATACCATCATCACCATACCATCATCACCACACCATAATCACCATATTACCATACCATCATTACCATACCATTATCACCATATCATCATCACCATACCACCATCACCATACCATCATCACCATACCAATATCACCATAACCACTATCAAACCCGCCACTATCCTACCTTCCATATTTTCTTTACAAGACGAACATTAGCATCTTCGTGTAAATCACTCTGATCAAACTTTGGGTTAGAAGTGTTATTAATTTTCAATAGCTTTGCAATTGCCACTGCCGCTTGGAGCACTTCTTGATTCTCTTTGAGTAATTCAACCTGAAATATTTCAATGTTTTATTTGCAGCACATGCGGTGTCCTGTGTCTTCCATGTCAGGGTTTCAACGCTCATTTTCACTCAAGAAAATTTTCCACAGAAAGAAAAATTTGTAAAATATGTTTGGTCAACACAAATTTTCCGTCGGAAAAAATTTTGAAGTTGAAAATTTTCAACTTTTAACTTAATGATATTTTCGGTCTTTCCTCCTGGGAAAAGTTTAGAATGAAAATGATTGAAAACACACTAGAAAGCCGTTTATACTTACATTTTTATTCAGAGAAGCAATTGGTCCTGCATATTTTTCCTCGAAAGACTAAAAATTGAAACAAACAGTTATACGAAGTTATGAAAAAATGAGTTTCTGTTATAAACTCAATAGCTGAATATGTTACAGTACCTTTGATCCTTTTGGTCGAGTAAAGCCTTCTGCAAACTGAAAATAGGAAGGTCATGTTTTATTAAGAACATTTCAACATTTTTTTGCTAAAATACTTCGTCCAAAGGTCAGTTGACTATATTAACTTTCTAACGACAGTCCCTTGGTTGCATGAAACAGTTTCGGAAAAATATACATAGCTTACCTTTCTATATACAACAGATGTGTTTATTTGGTTCTGAATTTCTCGTGAAAAGTCGGTACGTTGTTCATTGGTTAAGTTATGACAGAGATGATTTCTTAACTTCTCTCGTTCTTCTGGCGTTTGTTTCGTTTGAATGAGAGAGTTGAATGTTACTTTATCGCACGAGATGTTGTGTAACTTGTCACGACTGTAAAAAAGATCCTAGTGAAAAAATAAGTTCATTGTTTATTGAGTCTCTCACTCATTAGTGAGCGGATTCCCCAACAGGCTATTGTCGAATTAATAGGGAATCCGGGGTACCTACGACTTAATGTCCAACAGTTACATACCATTAGGATGTCAGTGATATTTCGATCACCGTCTGCGTATGTGGTGTTCGTAATCACCTTTCCAATTTCTTCAGGATTCTTCAGGAAATTTGGATCTAACGCAGCCCGTAGTAATAATATTTTTTGTAATTTATTTAATCTGTCTTGATATTTTGCAGGATTCTGCTTCATCATTGTGGCATCTAGTATCTCCATGACCTAGAAAAAATCCAGTTATCAAGATAGACCAATACACCCTTCTAGAAAGGATGTCTCCTATAGGCTACACATGGTCTTCGGTGCAATGTGGGCAACAGGGCTTGGGTGGTGCACTCATCAGAGCAAAGCACCTTTCCAGAGACGGATTTTCATATTTTCGTTTGGGGGGTGGATAAATATCTGGGGGGGGGTGCTGCTGCTTGCTTTGGCTGGAGCGTGGTGGCAACGCCCGGAAAGGCCAAGGAAAAACTTTAACAAAATTTGTTTTCTAGGCCTGCATGGCAAGATCTGAGACCATAATATTGGTAATTTTACAAATTTAGTAGTAAATTTAGTAGTATTTTACAAATTTAGCGGGGGTGCCAAATGCCTTTGAGGGGGTGCAAATCATTTCTGGGGGGTGCGCACCCCCCCGCACCCCCCCAGAAAATCCATGCTTGCACCTTTCACCTCGGAGATTGTGGGTTGGGTTCTCGCTCGGGAGTCAGGTGCTCTGGTTTCCTCCCACAGGGAAAGTTGACAGGATGGGTTAGGATAAACACAGTTAAGAAAGTATTTGTTGTAAAGACAAAACAGTCAAGGCTAAGTATGTAATGCTCCGAGCTTAAAATAATATTCCCAAAGTTCCCGATCATGGCGATCAGTAGTCATGACTTTCCCTGCTTTTTCAGGTTGGAAACCCCGCTTTTCCGCCGATCATAAGCAATTTCTTGCCGATCATTGATCGGCTATTATTTCAAGCCTTGAATGCTTGATGTAAAGTGCGGTTACAGAACACCTTTGAGTGTTAATTTTGCCTAAAATTTTTTTATTGGTTTCCATGAAAGCAGTAGACTATAGTTCTACTATCTGACCAAGTTTGGACGAAAAATGTTGAAAACTCGCAGAGTTATTTAATAAAATACATTTCGCTTGCAATAAGAAAAACATTGAAAATGTAATATTCAAATTCAATTTTCTCCCGAAGAATTTTACGGCAATTACTGATTTTTAAACGAGTTGTGCTCCTGCAGATTTCAACGAATTTTTCTCAAATTTTCACAGGACATAGCTGAAGACGTCAGTTTTATTTTACTGTATAAAAATGATATTTTCATAAATATATCTTAAAACCAGCAGGAACATAACTCAAAAGCGTAAAGGTACCGCAACTTAAGATTTTCCTGAATAATTCTTACATTATTTTATTGTTTGTCAATTTTACAACTTTATCATATTTTGCATGCACTGGCTAACATTTGGTGAAAATTTGATGAAAATCGGACTGATTTTGAGCGTGCAGTAGCGATTTTCCACAAAACGCCAAAAAGGGTGTCCTGTAACCTTAATCATATGCAGATGTACATTTGCACTATAGAAATACTAATCGTACTTGTACTAAATGAACAACATTTCTCATTTAACATCGTACCTTGCTGCCATTCACTGTGGCACCTAACAATGCCTGAGTCATATTTGCGGGAATTGATAGATTCTTTATTAAAAAATTACTAAAACCATCAGGATCTTTTAAAATATCTTGAAATAGAAAATCTAAATAAAACAATGAAGAGGTATTACAAACATATTTATTTAATTAAGCTGAGTAAATGACTCATACTCATACACCTGACTAAGTGACAGGTGACTGACGAAATGAATGACTAACCAGGCTCTCCAGAATTGCAGTAACCAACCGTGTTACCGCAAACTTTGTTTTGCGATAACCTAATTTGGTTTCCCTAATTAAGTAATGTAAGTCTGTAATCTCTTAATTCTATAATTAATAAATGTGTTAACAGTTAATATTTAAAAACATTTTCAGTGTTGATATACAGTTATATCAACACAAGTGGAAATTGGGAAAACGAGAAATTGTGTGGAAACACGACACCCGAAGGACAGAGTGTTTTCACACAATTTTGAGTTTTCCAATTTCCACAAGTGTTGATATAACTATATATCAATATGGAAAAAATGTTTTATATTTGTTTTATAATATAGCATAAAGAAATATAAAGAAATAAATTTTCCGATGTTTCTGTATTGACATGGAGTTATATCAATACAGCTCTTAGCCAATCAGCGTTCAGAATTTACACATGCTATATTATAATTAAATTTTCTTTACGCGTTCTGTACTGATCTAATTGGGTTACTTTACAATTCATTTGGACATATAAATAATAAATTCTAAGTTCTTCTGAGAAGTTTTCGTTTTGGTAAACCAGGTTACCGCAAAGGTGATTTTATGGTAATCCAATTTGGTTTCTGCCTCAAGTAATTTTGGACAGCCTGCTAACCAATTACCACCACTGACTATGGCAAAAACTATGATTAAATATACCTGGAATATTCCTTTTAGAGAAAGTGTTGTTCTTTGATAAATCATTCATAATCTCGTCATAATTATAATTAAGATCGTCATCAAGCACAAGAGACAGTTTGCCGTGATTTTTATCCACATGTTTTAATATTTTCATCAGATTCATCAAAAGTTCGTCTGTTCTAAAATGAATAAACTGTGTTGTAAGAATACTTTGGCAAATCTGACCAAGCCTATAAGTACTATAGGGCTGCCACTCAATGGGTTAAACTTTGTTGCCTTAATAAAGTGTGACAAAAGGTGCGTGTGGATGTGTTTTGAAGTCTGTGATAAGTGTGGACTTGATTGACCATCTTATTGTGCAAGGCTTGCCCTAGTGCAGTAGTAGCAGAGGCGTAACTAGAGCGTTAATTGGGGGGAGTGTATATTCATATATTTGTGTTCTGCCCGATGAATTTCTTTGAATTTCTTTATTTTTAAGTTCATTTCAAAAGAAATTAGTTGGGCACAACACAAATATATGAATATACACCCCCCACTCATTTAACACTCTAGTTACGCCACTGAGTAGTAGTGCTTCTCTTGTCAAGACAGCTTTTTTTAGCCTTCATACAGAAAGTGTTTAATATATAATATGACACAAAGAAACATGAAACACAAACATATATGTCCACAGTAAGTGTTACATACTTGGATTCAGGAAAAATTGGAAATCCATGTTTGTTTTGTGTCTTATTTGGACAAAACATTTGTAGTAGAGGAATTATACCAGCAGATGGCAATGCTTTCACTGCAAATATATCTAAAACATAGAAATAATAACAGAATTTAATTTCTACATCATCAGCATTTCCTAAAGCCTGCCATTTGTTACAAAAATGTATTATTTAGATGATGACTCTTGTATTAGCCTCCTCCGCAGGCAACTCTTGTTTCCCACTCCCAAATCTCAAATATATACCGACCTTTCAACCAGAAGAGACAATATTTTTGTCCGGAATGTGGAAGTTGTATGACTACATTAGGAAACATAAGGGGACATTGCAATACAAATGTTGTTTTATGGGGTGGTTAATGCGGGCGGGTGTCCCCCCCCCTCCCTGCCCACAAATTCACTAGTTGCCAAGCCCTTACCGTTTCTTTCTGCTCGGTCGAACTTTCGATATGGATTGAAAGCGTGGAATAAATTCAATTCTTTTCTGGTAGAAAGGTCGGTATATATTTGGGAGGCTACTCTTGTATAACCTCATTAGGGCCTCGTTACACTGCGATCTTACAAGAGATTTTTTTCTCCTGATGGATGGGAATGAGTTATGAATGTTCAAGTGAGGTTCATATAACCAGAACATTCATAACTCATCTACTCGTTCACATACATCACAAGAAGAAAATTGCACTAGAATAAATCACAACAAAAATTGCAACTGTAAATGGGCCTTAATTTTTATGACCTAATTGGCACCTGGAATAGAGCCTTGCTTTCACGGTCCTTTTTAGTTTGCCTGCTTTTAAGCATAGTCTGATTTCAAAGCAAATTTCAAAGCCACAAAATCCTTTGTCTCAACTACAATTAAATATTTTCCATCATGGTTGCACATTTTTCCTCAGCTATCCCTATTAATTGGACAATTATTTTATGTTACAAAATACGAAAATACAATAAGCTCAACCACTGTGACTGCGCACAAATTAACATAAACTCAGACAGAAACATAACACAATGAAAACTGTTTTGTTTCTAGATCATCATACTGATTACAGCATAGGATTACAGACAACCAATATCCATGCATGTATTTAAGGCACATACATAATGCAGGTAATTAACATGTAATGTTAGGTGTTCCTTAATCTGGTACAATCAGATAGCAAAATTAACATATCACAAATCACGTAAGACATATATTTCATATTTTAATTTGTTTCCATACAACTGACTTCACTTCCTAGGGTGGCTAATCTGTGCTTCTCCTTGCTTATTTATACAGCAAGGGTACTACAAAGCCGTCACAATAATTTCATTTGATAATACTTGAAAATTGCCTCCTACTAAAAATAATTATTAACCCATTAAGTTGCATTGCACTCCACTGTAACCTATTTTACCATTTTATTCTGTCTAACACCAGATGATTTTACTTGTCAAGGGGAGAGCATTGTCGCTCACTGCATTAACATTCAGCCCAGCAATCAATCCTCCTCATAAATGTACAATTATACCCTAAAGCAAACTCATTGAAGTGTTACAAGGCCATTCCTGCCTGCATAGTTTAAAAAAAACTGTCATTTGGGTCAGCTCAGCTTGTGGGAGACATTTGGCTTTATATTAAAGGCATTATCTGATTAAGGTGTCAAATGTCACAAAAATCACAGTGAGATATCTAGGAAATCATGCACGCTAAAAGCAACGTTTTAGTTGGATATTTTTTATAGAACTGACTATAGAATTAAGGAAGACAATAAATTTAAAAAAAAACATACTTCTCGCCTAAACCCATAAGCCCAAAAGGAAATATTATTCATGGCCATTTAGAACTCCTGTAGTTCAAAATTACATTTTAAACGTTGCCTTTTAACTCATGGGATTGTAAACTTTTAGCACGAAATTAATTGAGTAAGAAATTGGATATATATTTGGCGAGTGTTTCACTGTAAACAAAGATGACTTTAGGACAATTTATCGCAAATTATCCCAAATAAATAAGAGCGAGGGAAGTATAATTACTTTCCATATCTTACAACATATTGAACTCACTTTCGTCTATAGCAATAGGTTGTCGTCTGAGACGAATGCCCATTAAAACCATAAACAAAACTAGAGGGATTAAGATTTCGAAAGCAACCACGAACTAGACAAAATAGAGTAAAAAATAAGAATTATTTACATGGGAGTAAGTACAAAGCTACGTGGCCGATATAAAAAAAATGCAGTACAATTTTACAACGTAATACAGAAAGTACATTACCGGTCTTCGCTTTTTCATGGTATAATTTTTCCATAATAACATTTTCAACTGAAGTGCGAAGTCCATATTGAATATACGGCGTCTGTATTTTAACGTTCCTTTACTGATTGAATGGATATCATTATATAAATAGATATGTCAACTCGTCGTACATTTCTCAACACGCAATGCCTTATTTTCTTTGTATTTTGAAGATTCCATGTTAAAACGCGCTTTTATTTATTTTCTACGTCATATCGAGTGATCACCGTTGGATATATTACACAAAAGAAAAGTTTATTAATATTTGTCTTCAAGTTATGGAAATTTTTCTCTTCAAAACAGAGAACAACAAAGGAGCCTTTTTCTGATAACATTAAATACTGCGCTCTGATTGGCTCAATTTTCAAGATTGCATCATGTACAAAATGGCCGCCATATTGGAACCATTGATTGGAAGATTTGGAACAGCTGTTTAGGTCAATATTTTTGACTGGAAAAAATCCAAAAAAACATACAGTACTTCTGTAGCTAAAGAAACAGTACACCCAGTATTTGGAAAACTATAAAACTATGTTATATATCAAGATAATCGCAATTAATTAGGGGTGACGTTTAAATGTTTTGCCCAATACTGCAACTGGCAATACAAATAATTCTGTATTTGTTCCTAAAAAGAGTTAAAATATTAGCCATAACAATGTTGTATTTCTTTAACGAGACTAAGACTCGAAAGTAGGACCCACTAATTGCCTGGTATAAATCGTTCCGGATGCCATGCATCTCATCTGTTCGTCAGATTTCCTAAGTGGAGCACACTGTCACAGTGAAGAGGCCAACGAGTCCATCTTTTTACGGATTATTCGGACTAATTCGGTTCTACCGAAAAAAAATCACCGTGGCAAGAAAATTGGTGGCCCTCTAACCTAACCTAACAGGTGATTCCACCAACTGTAGAAATTTTAAACACGTAGTATAAAGTTCTGTAAAATATGCTTGAGGTTATAATTATATCAGACGGTTGACCGAAAATACAGCTGCAATATGCAGATACAGAAAGTCTAGATGTAACTGCAGAGCTCATCTACCACTTCAAGTCAAGTGATTTTGATGTCAAAATGATGCAAAAAATGAATAATGCATCCTTAATCATCTAACCGTATTGCGTCATGTCATCTGCAGGCGTCACACTTTCGATTGGCGGACAGAATTTCTAAACCCAAGCAACCCAGTATAACCCTGGGGCCGGGTGTTCGAATGCTGATTAACCCTAGGTCAACAACCTAAAAGTTCAAAGCAAACTTCCTAACAGCTTGTCTATAAATTTGGAAAAGTTTCTTCAGAAATCTTGTCTGGATCGATAGGAGTTCATTTCTCTGAAGTTTTGAAATAAACAGACTAGCCTACATAACTGCGTTGCAGACGGTCAGCAGAAATACATAAACTGAAACATAATCTGTCTGTACTAGTGTGGGTAGTACCAATGTGAAATTGACGAAGCGCCTTTGCTCGAAACGTCGAATTTCTGCTTGTTTATTTCAGGTAGTAATATAACCACTCAGCACAGCAATAAACTAAAACAGCAGGTTAAACTTTAACCCAGGGTTAGCGCTAAGCCAGCTTTGAACACCGTCCTCAGGTGAAGTAGGAGATGCCTACAAAGCTATATGTAATCAACGTTGCTATTTATATAATACAAATATTAATAGATAATATAATTTATACAATATTAAGTAATTATTCAATTGACAATTGTATTGTATTCAATGTAATCCGGTCCTCAGCGAAGTTTCGACTCGAGTCGCTACAGTGGTAGTTTTCCAGGACTTCGCGATCGTCTGCAACTGAAGAAATTCTTACGCCCAACTACTAAACAAGGCTGCTACAGCAGGACGTCAAGTTTCATTCGCAGAAAATGAAACTCTCTCAAACAAGAGAGATTGTGCTATCTAGCAAAACCTTGCACGATACGTGATATTTGAAGAAGGACGGGTCCAGTCTCAGGGTCTGTGATATAATGTCCGTTAGCTGAAGGATTCTCCAGCATTTCTTGGAAAGCTACAAAACAGAAAATGCAAATTTAAAACTTGCCTAGAACTTGCGCGTGTGCTGGCGCTCAATGGGTCAAGATCTATTTGTAACATACCATACTAAGCATGGAATTAAGTAGGCCAAGGTCATGCACATATTCATGGAATATTGGTTACCGGTCAATATTGGCCCTTGTGGTTTATATCGGAATATCGGTAAATTTCCATATGCATCAGTAAATAATACTCGATGTGGATGAGAACATACCTGCTAATATCCTGGGGTTTGTTATACTCAACTGTACCGCAGGATTATCCATGATAGCAGCATATAGAGCACTAGAGAAAACAAAGTCCTAGGTTGTATTTAGTATTTTCATGTTTGGCAAACCAAACTCTCAATGCAAGAGTGCTTTTCTCGCACAGTAACAAGCTAAGAGATCTAATTGACTTGATCCAAGGCATCCCAGAATGTGAATTGGCTGCATCAATGGCCTACCTTTCTGGATTTAATCCGGGATCACTGTCATCAACAACATCATGTCTTTCTCCAAGTAACCAATCGCACTATGCATATTTAAAAATAGATTTAAGAAGAGTATCAAGGAAGCGAGACTCTTCACGTGACGAGTACAATTGTCTGGAGTTATACAGAGTAAAATTATAATAAAGTTGGGAGCATTGCAGGTGAATGGGTTAAATTAAAACATACCGCAGCTCTCTGATTATTTCCTGTTGCTTTTAAGGCTTTAATGATATCTTCTTCAGGAAAACCCATGTCTTTTAAATTTTCTACACCCTGGAAAAAAAGTTTAAAAATTTAACCCACAGTACAGTGATTTGAGTTCTAATGTCCAAGACTTAGGGCAGAAACCTAATCCTACTAAAACATGAATTTATATAATAGTACATGAAACACAATGACTTGTGTACTTACTTTTCTGTTGGGGACAAATTCTCTCCTTCTGTGAGGTTTGTGAGATTTTGTCTTACTTGATTCTGTTTTATTTACAACTTGTGGTTCTAAAGGTTTGTCAATGTCTGGGTCAGATTCATGATGTAGCAACCATTCCATCGCTCCTTCTACACCTGACGTCCTGTTCAGTGGAATTTGTACACAATGAGTGTTGTACTACTTGTACATTAGTGATTCACAGATGGAGATCTGGAAATATTACAGGACAGTGGCAGTCACTTGCGGGGGGGG